CACTGAACAAGAGAGCATAATCTCATTAAAGCCATAATTAAAATGTGCCACCTTGACCAGAATGAAACAGAGCCAAGCTGGGTATGGTGGCACAACGCTGTAATCCCAGCATTCAGTATGGTGTGAGGATTACTAGTTCTAGGTTAGTTCAGGCTGCAGAATGAGACTTTGTCTCAAAAAGAAAACAAAAGGAAGGAAGGAAGGAAGGAGGGAGGGAGGGAGAGAGGGAGAGAGGGAGGAAGGCAGGGAAGAAGGAAGGAAAAAAAGCCAAAAAGCCCACTAAAACAATATAAAACAAAAGAAAATAAACATAACCAACAACAACTAACAGGATCCCTGCTCCCCCATAAATATATAATGAATGTAACATATGATTGATTAAATCACAAAGAAATAGAAACACTATCAAAATGTGTAGTTATGAGCTCTTAAGTCTTAAAATATATCTTAAAATGAAGTTTAGAGGGCATTCAAGACCATTGATCGAATAACATTGTTCTAAAACATGAGTTCCAGGCTACATAGTGAGATCCAGTGTCAAAAACCAAAATACAACAACAAAATGAAGTTGAGGTACTAGTAAAATAACACAAGTAAATGAAACTATAACTGTATGAAGCATGGCATGTGCAATCACCCACACATCATGTGGGGAGGAGCATGACCGTGCATGCCCATGCAAACTCCACCCCAACACACAAATAACAAACTAAAAAGGTTTTAAATATTGGAGGTTGGAAAGATGGCTCAGCAGTTAAGAGTACTGGCTACTCTTGAAGAGGATCTGAGTTCAATTCCCAGCACCCACACGCTTCTGGTTTCTGTGGGCCCTGGACGAGCATGGTGCATAGATATAAACGCAGGCAAAACACCCATGCATATAAAATAGTTTTAAACATTGAGAGAAAATATTCCAACAAAGCATTTATATCTGTTACGCACAGACATCACATGTATTACTAATAGCCAAAAAACTAATCTGGGTCCCAAATAGATAGATATAAAGCAAAAAAGTTAGTACCGAAAAGAAAAATTTAACTTTGAGCATGCTAGAGAATCAACTGAGATAAAAGCAAAAGTGTCATTTTACAGCAACAATAAAAGCACATTATAATTGTCATCCTTTTCAATTGCTTGTTTTGAAATATAGAGTCACTATGTAGCCCAGGCTGGCCTCAACTTGGAGTTCTCCTGCCTCAGACTCCTGCCTGCTAGGACTCATGCTCTACTTTGCTTCTTTGTTGATGTGATGAAACCCTGACCAAAAGCAATCTGAGGGAGGAAAGAGTTTATTTGGCTTAGGTTACAGTCCAGCACCATGGAGGGAAGCCAGGGCAAGAGGCTCAAGGCAGGAACCTGGAAGTAGGAACTAGGACAGAACCATGGAGGAACTCTGCTTACTGACTTCCGTTTCAGTTGAGTCCAGATCCAATCAAGTTAACGACCAAGCTCAGCCACCATACCTGGCTATAATTGTCATTATTACCTGTTTCTTAGTCTACTATATTCCAGCCAGAAGGACAAAGTCAAAGCAAAATTCAGAAGTTGTCATGTTTAGAAGAAAAATATACACAAACATTTGGAATATTTTTTAAGAGACAAGTATTTTTACATGCTGACCCAGAGACCCAAGTCTGAGAATTTATTCCAAGGAAATTCCTTAAAAGAAAGAAGAAGTAAAACGAAACAAAACAACCCCGCAAGCACAAAGACAAACTGTTTATAGCAGATAGAGAACTATAAACATCTGAAATATTTTACAATAGAGATTATCACACAGAAGGAAATACGAACCATTCAGCCATAAATATGAAATCTAAATATATCTAATTAGTTATGGTAACTTCAGTGAAACAAGTCTTTAAAAGATATATATAGACATAGATATAGATATATAACTATATAGTGTTATACACACACACACACACACACACACACACACATATATATATATATATATATATATATATATATATACCAACTTAGGAAAAATTGTAAATACTGGAAAGAATAAGACTGTAATGGGTCTCTGTATAAAAGCTTTTTAAAGCATTCTTTATTTTATGGGTATGAGTGGTTTATATGCATATGTACTATATAGATGCCTGGAGTTGGAGGAGGCTAGAAGAGGGTATTGGCTTCCCAGAACTAGAGTAATAGACAATTGTGAGCTGTTATGTCGGTGCTGGGAAGCAAACCCATGTCCTCTGCAAGAGCAACAAGTACTCATAATTGCTGATCCATCTCTCCAACCTCATGTATAGAAAATCTTGAGAGTTTTTTCCAGTGCTCTAATAAAAAATTAAAAGTGAAGAAGTATGCATTTAAAAGGATACATCTAAATATAGTTAATGTTTTGTGTGTGTATGTGTTTGTACATGCATGTGATTTATACCTGTATATGAGTACAGAAGGTAGAGGAAGATGCTGGGTATTCTTGCTCTGTCAATCTTTGTCTTACACCTTGAGGTTTCTGGAGGTAAGCTGGCATCCAGCAAACCACATTAGTCCTCCTGCCTCCATCCCTCACAGCTCAGGTGTTACAGGCATGCATTGTGGCCACAACTGACTTTTTCTGTGGGTGCTGAGCTGAGCATCCCAACTCAGGTCTTCATGCTTATAAAGTTAGCACTCCTACCCCAGAGCCATCTCCCTAGTTCCAAGATGGTTTGCTTGCTTTCTGTTTGTTTGTTTGTTTGGCTTTTTAAGACAGGGTATAGATACATAGCCCTAGCTCTCCTGGAACTCATTTAGTAGACCAGGCTAACCCTGAACTTACAGAGATCCTCCTGTCTCTGCCTCCCAAGTGCTGGGATTAAAGCATTTACCACCGGGGTTGGGGATTTAGCTCGGTGGTAGAGCACTTGCCTAGCAAGCGCAAGGCCTTGGGTTCGGTCCTCAGCTCCGAAAAAAAAAAATAACAATAAAATAAAATAACAAAAAGACCAAAAAAAAAAAAAAAAACAAAAACTAAGGTAAAGCATTTGCCACCACACCTGGCTCAAGAGGTTTAATTTTTTAAAAAATAATTTAGTCTTTTAAAAATGTCTTCTTGGAGATTTTACCTCTGGGAGCCTTGGTAATGCGGAATGGGTATTAGTCATTATATTTTAGGCCAGAAGTTTTCACTTCCCAGAGATTCCCAAAATAATCTTATGTGAAAGTTTATAAGATGGCTGACTCCAGCCATAGACAGCGTGATGGGGAGTGTGCCTTTCCAAAGGTGTTCTCTGAAGCCTGGGACCCACTAGTGCCCACAGGAGAAAGGCAGAAGTTTCTAGAGAGTTCTTGCAGTCCCTGTCCTGCTCCCCATAAACTGCCTCCTCTGGATTAGTTATCTAAAATAAAATGAAACTAAAGCACATTTCAGAACTGCTCCTGGGATGAAGTCAGTAGCTCTTTGGGCCTCAGTTTCCCTAACAGTAAGATGAAGGAAAAAAGTCCCTGCCTCTTAGTTTCCTGGGAGAAGATGAAATCTGAGTCTCAACTGACTTAGAGTGTGCAATACCATAGAATTCACTGGGATAACATTAGAAGAAGTAGGGTGAAATCTTGTAGGGCTTCATTTATGTGAGGGAACTAGAAAAGGCACAATCCACAGAAACTGGAAGTGGAATGGCGGTGGCAGGCATGGGCAGCTGGTGCCATGTGGGCATGGAGCTGCCGCTAGGGAAGATGGAAAGGTTCTGTGGATGGACAATGGTGACGGCTGCACAATATACCGTGATGGGACTTAAAGCCACTGAACCACGTGCTGGAAATGATTAAAATGGTAAAGTTAATCCCATATATGTGGTATATATAACATTGTATACATCACCATTTAACAAATCAATAGATACCAACAAAAGCAAAGATAAGATGCAGACATAAATACAACATGGATGAGGAAAGGAGGAATTTTAGAGCAGGTAGGTTTAGACACTGCTTTATCCACAGGTACAATGATTCACAGGGGAACGGTGATGGCAACAGAGCATAGAGGCAAGGTGGTGAGTGTCCACAGGGTACAGGCCTGGGGAAAGGGGAAGGAAGGACTGAGCGCCTGCCCTTCAGGAAGCATGCCTCCAAACACACTCATTCTCCTCTGACCACCATGAAACACTCTGGTTATAGGTCGCTTTTATGCAACTATTTCAGAAACTCCTAAATGAACTCTTTCACAACCTCATCCATTTGTTCATTCATGAATACTTATTTAGGGCCTATTAGTGCCAGGCACCATTGTAAGCATGTAGCCTACAATATATGTACAGACACAAGTGTGTATACATAGATGTGCTCCCAGACAGAGATACTGGCTCTTGGGGCCTCTACTTTAGGGATCTCGATATGTACCAGGTGTTGTTCTAGGCACATTATAAATGCAGTTTAATTTATGTATTCTTTTTGAAAATATCCATGATAGCCCCATGCTATAAGGTGGGGGTTTGGATCAGGTCTGGTGAGGCCAGGCAGCTTGTTCAGTCAGTAGCAGAGCAGGATGAACAGCTGTGGCTCACACTGGAGCATCAGTGAACTCAGGAAGAACAGACTGAGGCAGGAACAGGGAGGGTCTAGCCTCTTGCCTTATTTTCAAAGAAGTGTGGTAGAGTGTGTGGGGCGGTGGAGAGCAAAGCCCTGGAGGAAGGGATGTGCAGTCACTCAGTAGGGCAGGGCTGGGTTATGGACTTTGTGATGGTAGCAGATTAGAAAGACGGAGCTCTGGTGTCTTGAAAAGAGGAACTGATCTATTTGGGTGGCTTCCTGGGTGTGAGGAGAAAGGCAATGTCAAAAGTTCAGGCCTGGGGTACTTTCCAGACCCACTGTCACGCCAGGGCTGGGCGTGGGTTTGGCAGGAAGGAGACAGACTTGGGCATGCTCTGCCTCAGTGGGCTGTTCAGTCAGCTTCTCTCACTCGTGCGCAAATACTGATGAGAACTCTAGTGTTCACACGTAGAACGCCCTTGACTTAGTAGGCTAACTAGTCCCGGGAGGGCAAGCCAGCCCCAGTAACCTACCTTTATCCTGTTCTGCAGCTTCACTCAGTTCGGGAAGCTTGAACCCCACCAGGTTCTGGTTTCTCATCATGATGTGTTCCTTGGTGAGAGGAGGAAGAGACAGTTCAGATGACGACACCAGATCCTTCTCTTTGTTTCCTAGTGGCTCTGTTACCTCTCAGCCTTAGATGGGTTTCTAAAGACAGTAGCCAGAGTGGGTGAATTGCCATGACAAGGTATGGTGAGGCCAGAGGGGCACAAGGTCCTCTCTCAGCCCCGAAATCCCACCTTTTGTACCACACTCATTGTGTGAAAAACCACCTCCAACGTGACTTGCTTATTAAAGATTCTCTGGGCCTCAGGGGAAATGAGCTGCCCACACTGACAGTGAGGGAAGTATGTAGGGCCTTAGGACTTTGGGAACAATAGGATCCTGGATATGCATGCAGCTGCTTTTGGGACCGATTCTTGAAACACTCATAGCTGGCAGCAACTTCCTGGCCATTCTTCTGTGTAAGTGACACTCTTTCCTCAATGACCTTTAAGGCCTGACAGTCCCTGCCTGGGGAACTGAGCAGGCACAGCTAGGTTGTTGGTATTGGTAGAACCAGTAGGCCACCCTTGCTCCAAGCCAATTCCTGTCAGACTAGGGCCCTCTAGTGGGGTGCCTGGGTTCTCTCCTGGTCTCTGGTGCTATCCGAGGGTTTTCATCCTCCCAGGTGACAGGCCTCTGAGTAAAAGAGAAAAGAGGCAACAGAGAGTACTCAGGATCCAAACAGAACCCAGGCCATGCCCTTGCTGATATACTTAGCAAGCCAGAGGTCCAGAGCTCCTCAACTGTCAGCACACTGAACAGGTGCAAAGTATGTGCTCAGTTGCCAGGCCAGCTGGTGGCATGACCTTCCATGCTCTCTGCAACTCCTTTGCTGAGTGAGAGTGACCTGAAGGGGTGTGGGGAGTTCTGGGGTAGGGGCTTACTCTCCCAGCATTTGAAGTCCGTGAAGGTGAATCCCCAGATGTCTGCCCCTTCCCTTCCATTTGCCTTCACAGATATAGACTGTAGCTCACTGTGGGTGGTTCTGCCTGGCCTTGGTCTAAGCTACCAGTACTCTGGGCTCTGAATTAGAGGCTGGGGATTGAATGTGAATTGTTCATCTTCCTAAGACTGCACTCCAAAACATCATAGAAAATTATGATTTTCTATCTGTCAGTCTGTTTGTCTATCATCGAAGTCACTATGTAGCTGAACATGACATTGAATTTCTGATCCTCCTGCCTCCATCTCTTGAGTTCTGGGATTACAGGTCTTAGCTACCACCACACATGGTTTTATGTGATTCTGAGAAGCCAGAGCTTTGTGCACACTGGTGTGCGTACACTCATAGCCACTTCCTCAGCCCACAGACACTCTCTGAACAGCACAGCGGCCTGTTAGGATGTGCTCTTGCTACTATAGATATTCTCATTTGAGCTGAAGTGCCACAGACCCTCGTTTCCTCCCTTATCCTCACTCCCTCAATAGAAGAGCCAGGGGACTTGGTCCTATTCCAGTCTCCTTGACTGGATTGACATTGACCTTCTGAGAGAGAAGTGACTGGAACAGGACATTTTTTTTTTATCCCCTCCCTTTTATAATCCGGCCTCCTCTTTCCCCTCCACAGCCACTCATTGTATAGCAGGGCAGCCCCTTGACTGACCACTCACTGTTCCCAGTTTGATGACTAGTGGAAGTTGAAGACACCATGAACACTGGATGAAATTCACCATGGAGGGTCAGCCCCTAACCCTGACCCTAACCCTGACCCTAACCCCTAACCTAACCCCTATCCTAACCCCTAACCCCTACCCTAACTCCAACCCCTAATCCCTAACCCTAATCCCTAACACCTAACCCCTACCCTAACTCTAACCCTAACTCCAAGCCCTAGCCCTAACCCTATCCACTAAACCTAATCCTAACACCTAACCCTAAATCTAACCAGTAACCCTAATCCCTAACCCTAACCCCTACCCTAACCCTAACTCAAACCCCTAACCCTAATCCTAATTCCTAATCCTAACCCTAACCCCTATCCTAACCCCTACCCTAACCCCTACCCTAACACTGTCACAGTGGTTCTTGAGTCCAAGAACCTTGATTAATAGGTACCAGGAAAGCAGGCTGGATGCCATTACAAAAGAAAAGCCTGCTTATCCCAGTCTTGCCCAATTCTAGGCATGACAAAGATACTTCATCAAAGGCTCTTGTCACCATTTCTAGCTGGAGGAAGAAGACTGTGCAGGATAAGAAGTCCATATGGCCAACTTCCCCTGAAGTGTGGCTAAGTGTGGCCACTATGTCTTAGGTGGACTTCTATCTATTAACAGAGCAAAAGGCACCTGAAGCTGCTGCTATGGAGATGTGATACTGATGGGACCAGTTTCTCAGGGTCAAGAAATCTGGGACTCCTTGAGGTCAAAGCTGCCCTATCCCAGGGCCAAGCCTGAGTGTGAAAGTCTGTAGCACATGGGGGACCTGGCATTCACACACTGTGCAGTGGGGCAGGAACCCACCTCCCGGAGCTTGGTCAGTTTCTGCATGCGCACTGGTTGTACTTGTATCTGGAAGTCTTTGAGCCCAGGTGGCTTGACTGGTTTGCCTTTGCCTGGGAACCGCTTCTCTTCCTCTGACAGAGGCAACTTGGCAAGTACCTTCTGTAGCAGGGGACCAGGTTCTTCGGGGCTGCTGTCCCAGGAGACTCCCCGTATCAAGGGAGGCCGGGACACAGGGGGCCTCAGCTCAGCTTTGGAACCAGCCTTGGGCCCCACAGGCTCTCCAGCAGAGCCTTGTCCCTGGGGATATGGAAAGCCAGTTCCTCCTGAGCCTTGGGCTGTGCCTCTGGGCAGAGGGCTGCCTTCCCTGCCTGTCTTCAGGAGCTGCCTCCCAAGCTCCATCTCAGCAGGGCCAGGCTGGGGGCTGTTCAGGGCCATTTTCCCACTGATGCTTGCTCCAGAAGCCTGAGCCATGGGTGCAGCCTCCTGATGCTGAAGGGGATCAAAGTTCTCCTTTTGTTCTACTGTAAGTTCTTTGGGTTTCTCCTTAGTGGGAGAGCGAGGAGCCAGTCTGCCTTGAGACACTTTCCTTTGGTCATTCTGCTTCTGGTCTGCTAGCCCTTTGGAGACATTCTGAAAGAGACAAGGTAGACTGAGGACCCTGGAGGCAGGCTGAGAAGACTCAGACCTTGACAAGAGGCCTATATATAGACATGCAAATGGAGTAGGAGAGTCCCAGCTTTCCTGCAACTTCTCTGGAGCAGCTCTTAAGTCTGACTGGCTGGATTTGGGAGTGTAGATCACCCTTCTGGAGCCTGTCTTACCTCTTTCCCTTTCAGACTTCCATCTATAAGAGAGGAGTCTTCTGCTTGCCCGGACAACACCCTCTACTCACATCCGTGTCCACACATCTGTGGGCTGCTCAGGGCCAGCCTAGGCCAGAGACCACATTCACCACATTCAAATCATTGCAAAGAAAGCAAAGCACAAACTTACAGGCTCTCCGAGGTGAGGTGAGGAGATGGCAGCCTCATGCCCCTTTTGCTGAGGAAGAAAGCACAGGTCAGCAGCAGTAGAAAGAGGCCTGCTCCCTCTTGAAGTCTAGCAGGATGTAATGCCGCCCTCCCCCAGCACCTCAGGGGTTAGTTAGGAATAAGAGGTCTGCTGGTGTGGGAGAAGCACATAGGTGTGTTGTTACCTGTGGTGGTCCTCCCGGCAAAGGGGACTGTGGGCCACTGCATGTGTCCAAACCTGCAATGGGCCATCGAAGGTAAGTGATGCCCATCATCTAAGCCCTGTACTTGTCACTTTAACATCAATTCACCCCTGTCTCCCCCACCACACACACACACACACACACACACACACACACACACACACACTCACACACACACACATACACATGCACACACGCACATACACACACACACACACACACACACACACATCCTTTGTAAGGTCTGGCAGCCAAAAACATGGTTGTTGCTCACCTACAACATTAAATCACCATAGAAACCAAATAAGGAAACTGAGTCATGGGGGAACCTCAAAGTTTGATAATCAGGAAGCATCTGTGAATATAGGATCCTGGGCTTTCCCTCCAACACTGACAAGGGCAGGCAGCCCACCGAGGTACTCTGGTGCCTGAGGATGCGGCTCTGGACACAGCCCAGAAAGGAAGAAACTGAAATGCATACCAGGCTTGGAGATGGAGCTCAGTGGTAGAGTGCTTACTCGGCATGTGTGAGGACCTAGGTCAACCCCCAGCAGCACAAGAACAAGCAAAACTCATATGGTCTAAACAAGAGGTCTCAAAATAATCTGTGATGTGATGGTCTCTCTCTGTCTCTTTCTCTGAGCAGAACACCCATCATAGCTGCCTTCCCATGACCTTAGCCCTATTCTCACTCAGCCTGTGTCTTGCTGCCTGTCACACTATTCCCTATCCTCAAAGCCTGTATGTCTGCCCCATTGGCAGGGGCAGGGACAGCCTCACCTGGTGGTGTAGAGATAGTGAGCGAGCAGCTCCGGGAGGGTGCAGGAGAAGCTCCAGGGCTGAGGTTTGGGGAAACAGCTGTAGAAACAAACAACACCTGGCTGGTATTCGTGAAGGGCTAGGACTTCTGCCACCTAAGAAATGATCCCCTCAAGAGATTCCACCCCAGGGACCCAGTCTGCCTTGTCAAGGTCAGGGGCTGGTTCTGGAATGCCATATGTTTCCTCTTACAACCTAACTTTTGCTATGGTCAGCTCAGCAGAGGGGCCCTCAGGTAATTTCCGGTAAGTGCGGTCACATTTCTTAGCCTGCTGGACCTGACCTCAGAGAATTTCCCAGAAACTGAGGACCTAGCATTATTTGACAGGAAAAGCACACAAGGCTACACTTTGTAGATGCTTAAGGACCACTCTGATTTCAAACACTCTTCTTATCCTCCAAGGTCATTTGGACTAGGCTAAAATTCACATCATCTTTGCACTCAGGAAGGAGAGAGACCATAGTACAGCATGGCAGAGGGTTCCAGGAAATCATCTCTTTAGCCCAGAAATTCCCTCAAATTCCTTGTCTCTTTTCCAAAGCTGGAGATGAGGGTGAGGGAGCCCAGACAGCCTCCTCAGACCTTTGCTGGGGAGATGCCTGCCATAGAGCAGGGTCTTCATTGGAAGGGTGAATGTTAGGCAGACTGTTGTGCAGGGCCACAAAAGGGTCTTTGCATATGGAGATTGCACAGAATTTCTCTACATGAGTGCTAAAGACCTAGGCATTTATGAAGGAGAGATGCTGAGACCAAATAAGAACATGGGTAGCATATGGAATGGAATTTGTCCACACAGGGGAAGGCCCAAAAGCAAAACAAAGGAGAATTCTCAGAGGTAGGGTTGGCTATATATTTTAAAACTCTGGAAGCTGAGCACAATGAGTTCTTGAGGGGTCATGCCAGGCTTAGGCATCCTAGAACCTGGAAGCAAAGGGGACAGATCACCTGAAGCCCACCCTCTTGGAAACAAGATCCCCCTGCAGCTGAGGCCTGGTCCTCCCCCCTCCTCCCCTCAGCCTGGCCTCAGGGGGCTCAGGGCAGCTACCTGCCCTGCTGCTGGTCCTGCCCTACCTGACGGGGAGTCTCCGGGGCTGCTCCTGGATTTCCTCCCGCGGCGGGTCAGGAATCGCTCACTCACCGACTTGGCTTCTTCCAGAAGAGCCAGGTTTTTCTTCTTGTCCTCCTCTGAGATGTTGATGTCTGGCAGCTTGTCATTTACCAGGTCAATGATATGTCCCGTGGGGTCTGTAGAAAGAGAATGAGCTTCTAGCAAGAGCCACCTCGCCTTAGAGGCCCTGCCATCTCAGAACTCAGCTCTACGCCCATGTCAGGATGGAGGGCATGGGGCAGACAGTGGCTTCCTTAGTAGGCCTGGCTCCTCTGTCAGAAAGGTTCGCGGAACATGCTTTGGTTCCCAGAGTTGTCCTAATACCTCTTTAAAGGGAGTCCTGCCTTCATGTTCTGTTTCTTTACAAGCTAGTTAGTTAGTGTGTAGCTAGGGACAAAGCTCAAAGATGTTGTCCTAAGCCCCAGCTGCAACCCCATGGTCACTTTCCTCTTCTGCTACTCATCCTTCCCCAAACTACCCTTCTCCAGAAGTGCCCTAGACGAGCCCAGTGGGCGACACTGTCTCCTTGCCAGGTGCTCAGGGAATAATGTTCACTCCAGGCACCCCTTCTTCCTTGGCTTCCAAGTCCAAACCTGGCCCAGGCATAGCATTTATCTATAAGCGTCCCAGGGATCTGTTCCCAATTCTATTCCTGCTCATAAGCTTTTTCTTGAACAATTACATCTGCCCCCTGAAAAGCCCCCACCTTCAAACCAATCTCTCTGCCCCATGGTCTATTGCCTACAGAGTGACCTTTCCAGCAGCCATGTCTGATCACGCCGCTCTCCTGCCTCATCCCATGGAAACTACTCAGAGTTCCCAGGGTCACATCTAAACAGGTCACCAACTGTGCTGGCCCTACATCCTCTTCCTGAGGTAGCTTTTCATTTTCACCAGGGGAAACCCTCTGAATCACCTTTACACAGCTCAGGAGGAGCCAGCCATCCCACCCATAACTCTTTTTCAAAAGCAAGGTTGAGTGGGAGTTGGTTCCAAACCAGTTTTGGCTAGTCAAATAATGCCATCTGGGCAGCCACAGGGATAGGCTAGGGAAGACCACACGAGGCTGATGGAAAGCAATCATGGGAATTAAGAGGGATGAGGACTTCATAGAGGAATGTGAAGTGTGGAGGTGCAGCCAGCTGCTTGTCCCCATGAGTGAGAAGTCATGCCAAGAAGGCTCGCACGTTAAAGGAGATAGAGACAGAATGGTACGGTAACTAATAACCCTGGATCCCACACTGCATGAAACCATAGACCCTGGAGGAGGAGAAAACAGTGAAGGAACACAAGGGGGGAGAGGAAGAGGCTCTTATTATTTTAGAGCAAGCTAATATGAGTTTGGGCTCCATCATTTGCAGTGGTCGTGACACGGAAACATGGAAAAGCATTTGGGTATTTGGTTGCTACAGCACTCTGGATGTCTCCTGCTTCCTATCACATTTCTTCTTCCACTGAAAAGGCCATCCCTCCCTCCTGTGTGTCTCTTTAAGGAGAAATTGAAATGCCACTTTCCCTGGAATAGCTCCACATCTTCCCCCTCCCTTGGTAGAAGCTGGCCCCTTCTTACCTTGGTTTCCTTAGTTCTCCCATGAAGGTGTGAAAAACCATTAGGAGGAACCAGCAGGAATCATAGTCACCAGCCTTTCATGTGGGCACACTCCCACCTGGACCTGGACCTGCCCAGTACAGCCCCTTGACTCTGCCCCTTGAGCCCAGCACTAAGCATCACTTTCCTGTCTTCTGATTTCCTCATCTTCCTCTTCATTCTCACACTGAAACTAGACATCATTTCTTCTTGACCCAAACATGGAGAGGCTGATCTCCTCTATCCTCTAGGCTTAGGGAGAGGGAAAGGGGTCCAGTGTGACTAAGCTCAGCCAGCTCATACCTGCTACTTAAACACATCCTCATATTGAGCCAGCCCTTACCCACAGAAGTCAGTGAAGCTGTGGAGGCCTTCAGTTGTCTGTGGGAAAGTCTTCGATTGGGGCTAGGAGTTCTGAAAGACAGGACATGGTCATCGTGTTAGGACATCTACTCAGAGATAGACAAATGAGATGCCTCTACAGTCTCTCAGTATCACCCCAGTGATGGGAGATGCCATTATGTATATATGTTTCTCATACTGGTTAATAATAAAGCACTGTTGGCCAATAGGAAAGAAAGATAGGAGGGACTAGGAGACAAGGAGAAAATAGGAAGTAGGAAGGAGGAGCCAAGATGGAGAGTCTGAAGAAAGCAGTATGCTGCCGGCTCCCCGGTAAGAGAAATACATAGATCAGCAGAAATGGGTTAATACTTAAGGCAGAGCTAGCTGATAAGAAAGTAGTAACTAGCCAACAGTATAATATCAAATACAGAGTCTCAGTGTGTTATTTAGGGCTGGCATGGTGGCAGGACAAGACCAGGCGGCGGCAGGCAGAAAAACCGTACTCCTTACACCCCAGAACATCATCTTGTGGGTGCACTCAGGGATCCTCTGACTGGAGCATGTTAAATGGACAAATGCCCAGGCCATACTCCAGTCTCCCACCTCAGAGCCCCTGGGAGCACCACCAACCCAGCAAGTCTCCATGACACTCTGCTGCCAACTCAAGGTATCCAAGCCCACTTTAAGGGATGAAACTTTACTACTGTGTAGGTTTCCTGTGGAAACCTGAAACATACATAGGGGCTGGTAGAGACATGGGTGATCTCTTTTTGAGAGAGAAGGTCAGAACACTGCTTCACTGCACTGCCCTGCAAAACAAGGTTTTTTTTTTGTTTTTTGTTTTTTTTTTTTTTGGTTTTGGTTTTTTGAGATGAGGCTTTGCTGTGTAGCCTTAGCTGTCCTGGAACTCACTCTGTAGATCTGGCTGGCCTTGAACTCACAGGGATCTGCCTGCCTCTGCCTCCTGAATGCTGCTGGGATTAAAGGTGTGTACCACCACTGCCCAGCCACATGAAGCTCTTTTTTAAAGATTTAGTTTTAATTATGTATGTATGTGCATGTGTGTGCAGATGCACACAGAGGCCAAAGCATCCAATTCTCCTGGAGCTGGAATTACAGATAGTTGTGAGCCATCCAGTTTGAGTGGTGGAAACTCAGGTCCCCTGTAAAAATTGGCTCTTGACTACTGAGCCAATTCTTCAGCCCCATGAAACTGTCTTATATGACTTCACAATTTTATTTGGCTTTTTCCACCCTCCTCCCACATGGATTAGACATGCATGTTCATTTCTTACGTCCTCCTTGGTATCCACTCTGCCTTTTTGCTTCTACTTTTAATTCATGGATGAAGAAGGCTTTGGCATGTATATTTACTCTGTCTTATGAGAATTACCCTCTGACTAATGTCTGTGGTGTTGCCTGTCAAAGCCAGGGCTTTGTACTTGGTAGGCCAGCACCTTTCCATGGACCTGCATTCCCATTCTAGAGAATGGCTTTTTAAATGTGTTAAAAGTGATACCTAGACAACCTTATTCCAGCTGGATCAATGAGGGAAACAGGGGCAGTGACATCCCTGTGGTAATGAACCAGTAAGTGTTCCTTCTAATGAATTACCTTCCAAGGAGGACTCAGTTTGTCCACAGCAGGACTCTATAGTCAAAGATCCATATCCTCCAGATTTGTATGGGAATACCTAGGCTGACATTATGAGAATTTTCCCTGCTATAATGTCTTGTGCTTTTCCTAAAATCTTACAGGGCCAAACCAAGAGCAAGAACATCATTTTGGGAAAGAAGACAATGGAGAAAATAATCCTAAATTCTCTTCCCCATTTTGAAAAGCTACCTGACAATATTTATTTTTATTTTTGAGATAAGGTTCTTGTGTCTCAGGCTGGATTTGAACTCCCCACGTAACCAAGGATGACCTTGTACTTCTGATCACCTTTTCCAACTGAGTGCTGGGGTTACAGATATACCGCAGCACACCCAGTTTATGTGATCCTGGGAATCAAACCCAGGGCTTCACACAGCATGGCAAAAAACAAGTTACCAACTGAGCCCTGTCCCCAGTCTCCTTTGACAGTATCTTTATCAGTAAAGTGATTCAGAGAAGAAGAAAGTCTTTCTGGAAACTCAGCTATTGCTCATCTGCCTGGGCTGGCCTACCTGTTGATGAGGTTTCTGTCAGCTTCTCCTTCAGGTGAATAGGCATCCCCCGTCAGGATGATTGTGGGAGGGTTGCGAAGTGGTCCTGCAGAGGGAGAGTCCTGGTGGTTTAGAGCAAAACACAAATGGAGTTAGGCCTGGCTGGGGGGAACGTGAAGGGCCTTGGAATTGCAGCATTTCCTACAGTGTGACCCCCAAGGCCGTTGCCACAGGTCGCCAACTCTGCATGTTGGTTTGTCTGTTTCAGCTCCATTGAGGTATAGCTGAGAAATAGAAATTGCATATATTCAAGGCGTGATATTTTGATGTGGGGTAACTTTGTGATATGGTTACAGGTGAACTAATGAACATACAAACTACCTCAGTTCTCTCTCTCCTTACCCCTCCCCTTCTCCCTCCCCCCCTTCCCTCCCACTCTCCTACGTGAGGATTTGTGCTGCCATGTGGGTCAAACCCAGGTCCTCAGCCAGTAGCAGGTACTCTTAACTGCTGAACCATCTCCCCAGCCCCTCAGTTTCTGTGTTCCTTGAAACTGAGTAATAATCAGTCTTAAATCCATATTTCGGCATAAGAACTGTGGTCAGAAAAATTCTAGCCTGGCCGGTTTTGTGCATTTATTCCTATGGACCCAAACACTTCTGTTATGGCCTCTCTGGTGGCTCAGCCTGGCCTGCCTTTCTGGCATATAAGACATTTAGGTCTGAACTCTTCCTGACTCCCATGTTCTTGTTCACAGGGGACTCTTGCCACAGGAAGGCTAATTAACACTCTTATAGTGCACAGGATTTTGTCTCAGCTGAATAGTTGAGCTCTGGAAATTGTCTTTTTGTGTCTGCCTTACTTAGAGCCTTTCTCATATGAATCCTCTGGTGAACAAGAGATGTATGTTGGCTAAAATTTCATTGACACTCTGACTACTTCCCAGAAATAACCAACAGGAAAGTATTACCTAGAGAAACCTGAGAGCGCGCATGCACTTGTGTTTGTGTTTGTGTTTGTGTGTGTGTGTGTGTGTGTGTGTGTGTATGTGCGCGCGCGTGCGCGCGCGCAAGCGCGCGCCCTTAAAAGTTAAACAAATTGATATAGAAATAAGATTTCCAAATAAAATACAAGATTCCCAGTTATATTTGAATTTCAAATAAATAGCAAACAGACTTGGGGGATATGTGTCCCAATATTGCAAGGCCCTATCAAGTATGTTCATCCACAAAATTTCTTAGCCCCAGGTGGAAAGGCCACAGAACTGCCCCTGGCACATAATAATGCTTAGTATTACCTTCACAGCCAAGTTTATCATTTTGGAATTTTAGTTTCTAGGAAACTCTTGTTCTTGGTCTTGGATCTGGTTGACAATTTAGAGCTAAATTTGGGGTTCATTAAGGCATCAGATTAGACCTTCTAGTAACAGAGCCAACAAGCACCTCAACTCAGACATTTGGCCACATAAACCCTGTTGATCAACTCTCAGGAAGCTCAGCCTACCAGGTCATCTTCACCTGACTCCATCTCTCCCTCAGCAACTTCTCAAACAATAGACATCCCATATGGGTCCCAGACACAGAGGAAAAGGCCAACTCCTCAGACCTCTTGCACCTTGGCCTTGTTCCAGACCCTCATGTTCTATCAGTCAGCCATCAGTTCTGCAGGATATCCATCAACACCCTGGGGTACTCATTCCTACAACCCTCCTGAAATCGTGAAAGGAAAATGAGAAGATGGGAAATCAGTCCACGAGTGTGCTGTTGGCCATTGCTTTGCCTCGGGGCCACACCAAACACAGGCAGCATCCTTCCCACTGTGTCCAACAGCTTCTCCACCTGTTATCTTGTCTTCACTGACACTGCCCCTGCTTTCTGGTGTCCTTCAGACAATACTCTCTTAGCCCTCTGTGCTACACCCTTCCTCATGGAGATGCCTCTTCCTCCAAGAAGCCCTGAATCCAGATGGGACAGGATACACATCAGGAGGGAAGCAGGCTGGGGCAGACCTTCTCCGAGGTCCTTGTTCCTCTTCCCAGTCTATGGACCCAGCTTCCCCAGGGGTCTATCTCTCTTCTCCTGGGAGCCAGCCAACCTGTGTGGGGATGTGTCACCTCCAGCAAGCTCACTCCAATCAAAAGCAACAGGTCACATTTTGTTCCTCTCTAATAAATTTTATAGAAACATTTAAATGTTTATTTCACTCATAAATTCCCAAGAGTACACAATAGTTTCCTATGCTCCTGCACACAGGGATAAATATAGACTGATGTCATAGATGGCCATATGAGCTTCATATCCTCAATATCACATGACTAGGTCAGGAACAGCTCCAGGTCTAGCCCAGGCAAGTATGGGGAATGTGGTTTCTGTGCTGGCCCGGGTGACCGTGGGACAAGGACCCTACTATGATCAGGGAAGGAGCTGGGTGAACCTGTAATGGAATCTCGGCTGGGTGACCTCCGGGGAGATATTTCATTTCTCTGATCTTCATGTTTATAAACATCAATCTCTAGATTGACATTAAAAATAAACACAGATAAAACAACAAGAACGATAGCATGGGAGGGTGGGAGGTGGGTGCACATTGTTTGACTATGTCCACAGTTGCTCTGCTGTAGCCCAGAAGGCAGGCAGGGGCTCCCTTGGGAGGGGAATTTGTGCTCTTAAGACAAATTAAAAGATTCTCAGGGGACTTACAAGAAAATGATGGCTCCAATGTCAAGTCCTAAGGCCATGGGAGACAGGGGAAGGACTTCTGTTGGGCATGTGGCTCCTCTGTGCACAGCATGGAGCATTCTTTGCCCCACAGTCCTGAAGGCTTGCTCTCTAGTGTATGCTCCCTTGTGCCCAGGGCCACTCTGACTGTCAGCCTCTGTCAGTGTCCACTCAGTTCCCAGAAGTCAGAAATTCGTAGTCAAAAGAACTTCCTGCTCTCTTTAGCCCTGTTCTTACTCTCAGACCATCACATTTCAAAAGTGTGGAGCAGTACACAATGGGTATCGGTCATGCTTTGTAGAATGCCACTCAACCAACTGGCCATTTACCCACCATCATCTTCAGTCCTCCCTTACTGATGCTATTCTTCCTTTCATGTCTTCCTCCCCTCAATATAACCATCCAATTACCCAACCTGTCACCTAACCATCCATCCATCCAGGCATCCAGCCATGTATGCATCATCCATTTATCCATCCAATCATCCATCCATGTATGCATCATCCATCCATCCATCCATCCATCCAATCATTTAGTCAACCAACCTTTCTTCCTTCCTTACCCCCTTCCTTCCTTCCTTTTCCCTAAGCTCCTACCATACATGTGTGGAAGATATGACCCTTGACCTCTGGTTGCTCACATTCAGTTTAACAGAGGAAAAACAGGACAAGCTACTCTATTGCTCACAATGGGAATCAAGGATGAACCATTGTGATATGCATTCTTGACTATAATCACCATTTCTGAAATGCATTGTGCTTTGATTGATGCAATCCTACAGCTGGTCTCATAGCTCATGTGCTGTGACAGTATTCTTGATTCTTTTCCCCCAAGCTACCTCTCCATCTTACCATAGAAGATGAAACATCAGTACCTTCTCCGCACATGTGAGGCCGCTGGTGCTCAGAACACTGGCTTTATCGGCAAGAGGAGGCAAAGAAGGCAGGATCTTGTACACAAGAAATCTTCAGTTGAATTTGCACTAAACTGTGACACCACTACGTGACCTTTGACAAATACATCTTAGGTCCAGTGTCTTCATCTATAATAAGGTAGAGTTATAATATCTAGCATGGATCAATGAATAACAGGTACCCAATAAACATTATTACCCCCTACACCAGATCCTAATGCCTTATTGATAACTTCTGCAAAGATACTTCCCTTTAGCTCTTAATTGAGACCATCTTAGAAGATGTGATGACCTAAATGGATGCTATGGTTCAAATATAAAATGTCCCCCACAGGCTCCTAGGTTGAAGTCTAGGTCCTCAGTTGGTGGTGCTGTTTGGGTGGGTACTGCAAACTTTACAGGAGTGGAGCCTAATGGGAGGCAATTAGGTCAGCTTACCAATACCCTAGAAGAATATACCTTGTCCCCACTCTTGTTTCCTGTCCTTGGTGAGGTGAGTGGCCTTGCTTTGCCACATGCTCCCTGCTGTGATGTCCTGCCTCACTCTGAGCCCAGAAATAACAGGGATAAGGAATAATGGGCTGAAAACCTCTAAAACCATGAGATGAAAATGAATAATTCCTAAGTTGGCCCAGGTATTTCAATCACGGCTATGGAAGACAAATTATAGAAGTCCAAAAATACTCTCAAGGAAGATGATGCCAATGCCCCAGATGGAGTGTATGAGTACTTCCAGTTCTGAAAGTGAGCATGTACTTTGCTCACTTGGGGTGTTCGCACCTGTAAACTAACAATACCTGTCTCCTGGCATTGTGAAGCTACCTTGTGGTGAGTGCATACAACAGTACAGGCTTGCAGAAAGATGGAATGATGCTTCTCGCTGGGTGGTTGTGGGGGGACATCCCTGCTCTAAGAGACCCTTATAAGGTTACAAGGATTTTATATGCATCATCAATTTCATCTCCATTTCATTCCTGATAATAGTCTTAATTGCCAGCTTGATATAATTTAGAATCATTTGGAATCACTTGGAATGTGAAGCCCAGGTACTCTGTCATGCTTACACCTATACACCTGGGACCTGGAAGCATTCTCTGTTCCGGGAATATAGGTGTAAGAACTTTCTAGCTGCTTAGGGGGTGTTACTTGGTCCTCTCCTCTTACAAAAGGACAGACCAGTGTGATGGGCCATGAGCCCCAACTGCCTGAGGAGAAAGACAGGAAGGGCCTTGACCTCATTGACACCAACAGAGGAAGAACTTCTGATGTGCTGTGGTAGCAGTTGGGAGGGTCTCCAATTTGGATCCCAAGAAGCAGAGCCTGGTGGCTTTAAGAACAGAGCTTCTCAGGTCTCCACAAAGGGATTGCCTCCTTAAAGCCTATTAGCTACATTTGTCACTGTTGTTCCAAAACACCTGCCAAAAGTAGCCTAAGGAAGGAAGGGGTGACTTGGACTGATGGCCTGAGGGGACAGTCCTTGTAGCAGAGAAGG